TATTTTATTGTATGAATACGTGGTTAAAAATAAGTATGTAGAAAAAGAATTTTTGAATAATAATTGTCAAACAAGGGCCGTCAATGACTCGGGGTCCGTTTGCATTACTTTTGAAGAGTACATTTGACATAACTTTTACTTTTGCTACTCTTGTAGAAGTGCTTCCTCAATAAGTTACTTTGATTGACGTTTAGAAATCAATTTTTAAAAGAGTTCTCTCTTCTAAAATAGTTTTAAGAAGAAATTACATTGGGCCAGCATCCTTCAAAAAAAAAAAAAAAAATTAACTAGAAGACTCACTTTCATAAAATTGATTAAAATGATCCAAAATTAACTTTTAAATCATAAAAGCTCCCTTTTGATATCACAAAATTCATCCTAAACGAGACCTAAGAATATAGTTTTGAACATTTTAAATAATTTTGTAAAAGTATTTTGTTTGACTAGAAGAGATTGACTCAATGTAATTTAAAAAACTTTTCTAAAAGAAGTTGAAGCAAAAACACAAATCTGGCCAAACGAAGCCTCCGTACAAATGACTTTTATTTACAAGTAATAAAAAGAAAGTAATTTGTTTGTTTGAAAATACATATTTATTTAAATATAAATTTAATTTATTTTTACACTTGGTCGAACATGCTCAAGCGATGAGTAAGGGAAGGTCCTATCCTCTACACTTTTCTTATATCCTGTACGTTTTTCCAACATTAACCATTACACGAAAGAAGATCTGTTTAATGGCAGGTATGATATCACCTGTACATGCAATAATAAATGGTGGGTATGGCCAGATGTCCCCACTGCTTTAAATGCCCTACTAAATTAAAAACAAACGTGACACTGTCCTTCTATTAATTAACAGAGTGTACACATCTTTTTTTATTTAAATCAATATGTTTTAAAAAATTCATTTAAAAAGGATATAAAATAAAAGTGCAAAAAATAAAAAAAAATAGAGACAAGACTTTTAAGTGCTAAAAAGCTCATTTAGAAAAGCACTCGAAGTTAAAATGCGCGACAAGATTTTAAGGGCATAGATAAGCAAGATCGGTCCCGAGGTGCAAGACATGAGGTTGAACATGACCTAATAATTTAGGAACGGATTATCATTCACTATATATATGTGGGTTGAACGTGTTTAAGTATCATTCACTATATATATGAGTTGAAATTGAAAGAGGAATAGATTAATATCACCTAGTATTTGAATCAAGAATATCAATTTGGTAAACCTGAAATTCATATTTTCTAAGTTTCCTTGTTCCTTCCCCTGATTTTCGTAGTGCTTTACACAAACTCGGTAAAAGGCTTGATTAATCCGCTAAAGTTTTTTGCAAGGAGTCCCAAAAAATGAGAGCGCGCAAATATCTCTTTTAGAACAACGTGTTTCACGTGGTCAAAGTCTTCGAATTTTCGGGTTATTCCTTTGTCTCGTGTGGTTTTTATTTTTATCACCATCTTCTTCTTTTGGGTTTAATTCTTCTTCATTTTCGTTGGTTGCATTTCAGTTTTCGCTTATCCAGGTTTTTCAACAACTATAGCTTAGTAGCTTGGACGCTTCTCCTTTTTGCAAAACATTGAAGTGTTATATTTTTAGATTCCGTACATGACACTCAAAATTTTAGAGTTATCCTTGATCATTAGTATATAGTGCGAGACAAGATCCCTTAAAATATAATAATAACATTATAGCTTTTTTTCACTATACATTGTTGTAGAGTTCGTCTTAGGATAATCTATAGAAGAATAAGAAAAAAATGCATCATGGTCCTCTATTAAATTACCTGAATAGTAAGTTGGTCCCTAAATTTTAAAAAGGTACATGTAAATCTATAATTTTTCAATATAACTACTCAATCAAATCCCTAATGACCATTATTACCAAATCTCTATCAAATCGGGATACGATCTTCACTTGTTAACTTTACAAAATTATGTTTCGTTTCAAAACTTGGACCAACTTCTAAACGTCTGAAATAAGCTCATTTTAAAAATTACATGATGATTTGACGAATATTTAGACAATTTTAACGAAAACGACATGCACAACTGTAGCAAACAACATAATTTGGAGCTAAACATTCAAAAAGTGTTGAAAGGTAAAATGGCTCAGGCAAAAGAAGAAGCCAAACATAAATTTCCACTGAAATGAAAAGTGAGTCTATCTTCAATACAAAAAGACATCATTGCTTGTATTGTGTTGGGCCATGCCAATCAAACTTTCTTTGGTGGATGTCTTAATTTTCACATTTTTAACAGCCATAGTTCAAAAGTTTTCTTGTGATTCTGAATATAAATTTGGTACCTGCCCCATCATTTCCATCTTCCAAAAACAGAAGAGCAAAAGGGTAGGATAGAGTAGGGTAGGGGTGGGTGGGGGCGTGGGTCATTTAGCATGTATGTTGAGCTGGAAAGGTCTAGTTTGAGAGCTACTGGAGCTACCTTTAGTTTTATGTTTTGCCCATAAATTTGGAAGTGGCAACCAACATATGATTGTTGAGATATAATTTGGGTTATTTATGTTAATGATTATTCGAGTTCTGAGTAATTTTGTAAATGGTCATTGAAGTTTTTTCTTACATTAACGGTCATCTAAATATAAAACACTTACATTAATGATCACTCTATTAGAAAACTTGACTGTGAAGTGTAAACCCTATTTTGCGCCGTTAAATGTCAAAGTGTCACCAAATGACATTATTATAACGCCACGTAGGGAACTAGTGTGACTTTTTTAATAAAATATCATCAAAAGAAGGAAAAGAAAAAAATTAATTCCAAGTGTGAATATGTTGAATGCAAATCGACTTTAAATTTTTCTTCCCTTTTATCAATGATATTTTTTAAAAGTAAAAATTACATTATAATGCCATTTGGCAACATGTTGGCATTTGCATCACATAGGATTTATGGTCAAGTATTTAATAGAGTGATCATTAGTGTAATCATTCTAAACTTTAGTGATCATTATTGTAAGAAATTAACTTCGATTACCATTGACGTAATTACTCAAAACTTCCATGGAAAATTTGTATGTTGGTCCTCAACTTGTATGTTGGTCCTCAACCATGAATACCATTGACTTAATCACACAATTTGTAAAAATAAAATATAAAAAATCCACTTGTTGATACCAATTTATTAGTCTTCGTTTTATTATATATTTGAATTTGAAAATGTTATTTGGTGACTTGCAAGGCTGTTCACTGGCAAATATAAATATAAATTATAATTAAAGAAATTAGTTGGACAACTCTCTAGGCTGGATCGTGCAAGTGTCCTAACATTTGTTAGCACTTAGCTGCCACCTGCTAGTTGCACCACCAACCCTTGGTCTTCGGGACTCTGTCATGCAATGTGTAACCAGAAGCCCAATTGAAATAAGTAGGTCCATTTGGCACGATTATTGTGAGTATAACTTTTATTAGCGGAGTATTTATTGGTAAAACTTTTTTGAAAGTAGAAATTTTTTAAAAAAGTGATGCGAACATTAAATTAATTGTTTGGCAACTTAACTTGAAAAATGCTTTTAATTCATTAATTATACATATTGCATAATTATTTCACTAAATATTATTATTTTTATTATGTAAAAGCTATAAAATTAAAATATTTTAGTTACATTGTCATTGCACAATAATTTTTTAGTATAAATCATATTATTCAAAATTTATTTGTTTAGTACGCTAAAATATGGTACTAATACATGAACTATCATAAAGAATATGAATTACCATAATTTGTTGTATCACCTTAAATTTCATTTCTAAAATGTATTATCCAGCATTAAAAAATAGAAAATAATAATACTTAAAAATTAAGAAAAAAAAAAATTCATAGCGACCATTCAAAATGAATCTTTAAATTGTATATAAATTGATAGGTAGGAAGATTGGACATATTTGGTAATTTACCATTAATCAATAAATACATTTCTTTATTTTAAGAAAATAATTATTTATTTATTTTGTAAAAATCAACATATTGCGAATATTCACTATGAAAATATACCAACCGAAAAGGTTTTGTCCACCAAAACATAATCTTATCATTTTGTGTTGTACAAACTACAAACTACAACCACAACCAGTGTGACCCTCAAATGAACCAAAAAATTGACCCACAAACATTGCTTAAAACGATTTTCATTCCTAAAATATGGCCTTTTTGAAAAAGAATTGCTAATTCCCACTCAAGATAATATAACTGTGATTAATTTGGTATCAATTATCATAAACAAAGAAATCCTCGAATCACATTCTTGCGTACAAACTTAAAGTCAATAACATATTATCTTGTAATTACTTTTCCAAAATGATAATTTATCTTTAAGCCTCGTAAACGCAACGTCTCTCCCTCAAAATGTCGTGATATTCGCAGAAGATAAGGTGACACACAACCTAACCTAACCCATTTCCCCGTTCACTAAAAGTATAAGCCCATATTTGATAGTCATTATTTTGAAAAAAAAAATGATGTTTTGAATGGTAATTTTTTTGAGAATGCGTGATTAAATGGTAGAATTTTTTTTTAGATAAGATATGATTTATTGGAATTGAGGTTTATTAGTTTTTAAATAAGTACGTAAATCAACAAGAATTTTCCTTTCCTATCCAAATTTTAATGAATCAAGATGACCACTTACGTGCAAAATGTTTTATTACATGAATGTAGGGTTGAAAATAAATATGAGAATTAAAGCATTTTGTTTTATAGGGAGACAAACATGGACTAAATCGAGTCACTTCAAAAATTATGTCAAAATGATTTCTTACACACACACACACACACACACACACACACACACACGTAAGTCTCCAAGTAGTAGGTACAACAATTTGAGAAGACTATTCATACTTAATTCCTTCCATACATATACAAAGCTCAATATCATACGTTATTTATATTAACTCAAAGTCATCCTAATGTCTATGTACAACTTAGCCATGCACGGAACTAAAAAGTGCCCCTCGTGCATGATCACCACATTGTGCAACATTTCATTTCGAGTAGTTAGGATAAAAGGCTTCACATAGCTTATGATACTTCTCAATATCAAAGTTGTGACTTTTCATAAGTTTCTGTTGCTTAACTTTGAACCGTCGACGAAAGTAGCCTTCAAAAGTGGGCTCTTTTGATGTCCTCAAAAAGAATGCGTAGGCAAGCGCAAAGTGGAGAGAGGTGACAAAGAAGCAAATGGGCTCCATCACATCCCAACCAAATTCCCAAGTAAGCCCCATAAAGCTCAATGTTTGGATGACTAAAAAGCCCAGCCCACAATAGAGTTCACTACGAACAAGAGATTGGGCTTTTTGGTCAATCAAGCTCTTCTGCAGTTCCAGCTGGTCCAGTTCTTTCCTTCTTGGGTCGTTTGGCATGGCTATTGATTGGGAAATTATTGTCTCCATTGATTTTGCCACCTGTATTGTACAACATGCAAAGCAGTGAGTGCTATTCATCAAACATAATTAATCCTGATTTTAATAATTAATACCTGATCTGGCCTGAGGAAAACAACGTTGCCTAAAACGATGACGTTTCCAGAATCATCCAAGGCCTTGGAAAATTCCATTCCCAGTTCTCTACTTCCACACACGTCATCGCAGACCCGTACAAACTCGCCGTACGGAATTGTACTCGTCGGAATATTACTCAGCCTTTCCTTGACCTTCTCCAACTGCACAAACCTATGAACTCTCTTCACATCCTTCACACTCACACCAAACTCATCGTCCTCCGCCGGTGGATGTAGAGGCGGGCTCAGCCCGTCAAGGCGGAGGCGGTGATCGCCGGGTATGTTCAATGATTTCAACTTCTCTCGAAGCTTGTCACCGACGGGGAGAGTGAGGAAGTAGGGAAGGTTGGTGGGAGAGGAGTGGTTATTGATGGCTCTGCGCTGGAGGAAGCGGCGGAAAAAACCTGTGGCGGCGGAGTCTGGAGATGTAATGAACTCACGGTGGAAGTGGGCTTTGACAGCATTTGATGGTTTGGAAGATTCTCTGTTGGTGGCGTTGAAGAGGCGGTTCGCAAATGTTCTACGAAGCGCCATTGATGAAGGGTAGAGAGAGTTTAGTGTGTGCTTTTGATGGTTGAGTGATGGTGCAGAGGAGAGGCTTTATATAGGTGATTCCTGGGTTGGAGGAGAAGAGAGGAGATAGAATCTTCTCTTTGCTTGGAAAGGAGAATCTTTGGGTACATTTGATTTTTATTTTTTCGAAAATATATTTTTCTCTCTTCTTTTTAAATTAAAATAATATTATATATAAATAAATAAATAATTCTTTTTTTAACAATACATTCTTCATCAATCTACCATTCCAAAATACATTTTTCAAAAATAATGGGACTCAAAACACTTCTTTAATTTTATTTTATTTCTTCAAAAAGGGAAATTATAATACGTTAGCTCATTTAGGGTTTGTTTGTAGGAGGAAAAAATAATATTTAGCACTTGTTTGATGATTTTTTTTAAAACTTTTTTTTTACTTATTCATTTTCAATTACACATTCACATAATAAAATATTTTACACGTAAATTCAAAATTTCTATCTACTTTTTAATTATACATTCTCCAAAAATTCACTATTCAAAATATTTCTTTTCACAAATAATGACCACCAAATGAAGAATTAAACGCTTTGTCATAAATAATTGATAGATGCAATGAGAGATGAAGTGAGACAAAAGATAATTGGATGAAAAAATTAATTACGTTTTAAACGGTTTAATAATAAAATGTTATGTGATATTATGTGAATTTTTCTGTCAGACTTTTTCATGATTGAATGTTGAATTGTGAAGTCCTCTAATAGTGAATGTGGGAGCTTACCTCATGACCCAACTTAACTTTGACGACTAGGTCGCAATACCAAAGTCAAACCATGAAGCACTAGAAATAATCTTCGAACAAAGGACAGCCACAGAAAATTTGTCAGTAATTTATGCATAGTTTTAAGCTACAAGCGACTTGTTCAGACCTTTTCATATGCATGCCAACCAGTGATAAACTATAAAAGGGCGTTGACTAAAAGATTATATCGGTCCTAAGATTATGCAGGTAATTTATTTCAGTCAAACGATATACGAGTCGAGTTTAGATATTTAACCTTGTCAAAGCTTTCCTTACATGAAAGTCAAGTGACAACCAAGTTATACCTAGCGGAAGCACGTGAGATATGTACGCGACAGGATGACTTACAAAACAGAATTTAAGAATTTATAGTGAACTATCTCAACGTGACATAGAAAGTAAAGCGAATGATTGATTCATGATGGCGGGTACAATGTCCAACTATATTTGAAGATTCATAATTTTTCTCCGATTTGAATTTTTTTCACCAAATCTTTGTGCTGTTATTTTTATCCATATCTTTTTATATTTTTCCGACTTTCAAGAATTTATTTGAACAACGATCATGTGGGCAAATCGAGAAATTGACACCAATTTCTAACAAGTATTACGTACATGTTGAAGTGATTGATTCCTATTGTGTTTGCCAATTCAAATGCGGTAATCAAAACTTGGGAGTGAATTCTGACATCAACAAACATTGTCCACTAAAACTGTAAAACGTTATTGTGACTATTGTTCGGCTAAGATTTATATGCTTTTAATTTAAAAGATATATTTGTACAGAATTTCTGCGTAAAGGATTCTATTTCATGCATATGTAATTTGTCCCAAGAATCCAATACGCATCTAGATACTTTTGACATCATCATTCTCGGATAATTCTTCATGCAAATCCACTGCTGGGGTATTTTTCTCAAAAATGTCAGCTGAAATGTCCGTCCTTGATTTCCAAATTCCAACGATAATATATATGTATGTATGTATGTATGTAGGTGTGTGTATATATATATATATATTTTTTATTTTTTTATTTTTATTTTTTTTGCTGTGTTTGTATTCTTATTCGTGAAGAATTAGAATGATTATCTGCCACCACCCCCCACCCAAAACAAATCTCACATTTTATTAAATTATAAAGATTCTAATGCAGCATAGAATAATTGGCAAGCATCATATTTGCTAGAAAATGATGGTTAAATCTTCCTATTTCTTTTCTTAATTTTGGTTTTTCAATTTGAAATTTGGTTCCATGTTTGATGTTTAAATAATTGACTAGTGAGATTTGAATCATTTGATTGTAATATTTAACTCTCTAGAGGCATCGAGAAACTTATATTTAACTTTTCGACAAGAATTTGATAAGTTTGAATTCGTTAAATAACTTAGTAATTAGGACTATATATTTTGCCCTTATTTGGTTTTGATAAAAATCAGATCTTTTAAGCACAGTTGAAAAGTTAATAAAAATTGTGATCACATACGATGTGTGGTCGAAAATGAATTTAAAAAAAAAAAAGATTAATAGGTGGTGACCGTAATACACCGTGCATCTTGCCGAGCAACTCTTTCTTATCGATAGATGTTAATATCCCATTGAAAAGGAATATGATGACACCAAATGAATGAGAAATGGATTTTAAGGGATTTTAAACAAAAAATGCACTACACTTACAGTGTTTAGAGGGCTGTAAATTTTACAGCCCTCTAAACACTGTACAAGTTGTGTTTTTCTTTAAACAATCAGTGTGACAGGCAGAGATTCCTGGCTGCCCCTTGGAGAAAAGAGTGGACATTCCCATATAAGATATGAATTAGGCATGAATCATTGTAAGAGAATTAAAGAATCTCCAACAAATTGTGAAGTGGAAGGACTATTGGATTCCATTTGGTTTGGGATTTTATTCTTGGACAGTTGTGGGATGTCTACTAACCCCATTTGCATACGTGCATTCCTGCATCCAATGTTCATTCTCTAATTTATTACTTGACCTCAACTCGACCTGAATGTTTGTTGGAGAATCATGTTATTACGACAGAACATGGGTGTCAATTCAATTTTATGATTTCATTCAAATATACTTATCAAACTCGATCAAACCGTTCACGGTTCACCCAATTAAGCTATTAAGTTAAATGATAGATCGGTTCAACATTGTCACCATATATAATATCGGTTTAAATTTAATAAATATATTTTCAAGTCACTTCAATATGGCAAAGAGGAAACATGGGATCTCCTCGACATTAGTGCCCTTGGACTAAAACAAATAGAATCTCTCCTATTAGAATTGTTAGAGTCTAAACATCGGAACAATTCTTACAGCTTCCTAAATTTTGTGGTTGTTAGTTAGTGGTATGCCCCATGCCTAACTTGCCTTATCCAAAATGGACAAATTATAAGCATGTTGTACACGATAGGTACATGAGATATAAAAGAACTGGACACAATATAATGAACTAATTTTTTTATTTTATTTTTTCTTTAATACTATTTTCATAAATAAGACTGATACTCCCCTTAGTTGATAAGCTAGGACGTACAAATCTCTTGGCTAATTTATCGTAGGTCGTCTAATTATCCTTACAAATTAAGGGACTGTTTGACAATGTTTCTTTTTTGGTTCGATTTCCTTTAGAAAAGTTTCGTGAGGAACTAGGCCAGCTTCCTAGTAAGACAAAAGCTTTCGTTTGAGCTCCATTCTACAATAATTTATTTTTTTTCAAACTCATGTCCAATCATTCCTTTTTTCAATAAAATAATTTTACACGTAAATTCAAAATTTTTCCTAAATTTTATTTACACATTCTCCAAAAAATAATTATTATAAAATATATTTTACCCATAAAATGAGCTCAAACAGGGCTTTATACTTTTAAAAAATTATACAAACATGTTCAAAATCAGCCTTTTTAATTTAAGATAATTTTTAACTTTATAAAAGTTGTTGGCATACAAAAATGAGACCCAATTAAATGGTCCAAAAAATGAAGTCCAATTAGGAAATTCGAAAGATAGGCCCAAACGAGACCATGTAAAAACTCAAGATGGAGTTATGTAGCGGACTAGCGGAGGTCCATAATCGCTCAAGCCTGCGAGACGCCTAAGATCTGGAAGAGCCCATTATCGCTCAAACCTGCGAGACGCCCAAGATTTGGTCGCTCGCCCAAGCCTGTGAGACACCCAAAATCTGGGCGAATATAGTATCTTGATTGTTATTTAAAGCAGTTATTGAAACAGTCAATGAGTTATCTTATCACATTCCACGATCCAAGAATCTCGATTACAAGCAGTTAAATGATGAGAGTAATGACACCAGTTTCTTGACAAGTCATCCATTATGGAGAAAATTGGTAGTTATAGGGCGATGAGCAGTTTTCAACAAAGAAAAACTGTCAAATGAGTACAAAAGTGAAAAGAGAATATAGAAAACTCACAAATCAAATGACTCTCAAATAGAGAACTATGTAATTGCATTTCTTTCTTCTTTTTAAACTTTCCAATTCAATGTGCTTGTGCCCCTTGGAGGCATTTCACTTCTTACAAATTGTAATCTTCATAAATAAAGCACCCCTCGTTGGAATTTTGTCTCGAGAGGTTGTCGTTCCTTACACAATTGTTTGAACCTTCTTTTAATTGTTACTGAGACTCGATTTCCACGCAAAAACAAAAGTCGTGTTAAATGAACCCTAAATAATTCATGTTTTATTATAATTAAATTCTTAATCATTGGTGTGAACTATTTTCTTGGTTATGTAAGAATATTAAGTCGTAAAATTGAGTCGACATTTCGAGATATCATTGATGTTCGGACAAAAGAAATTACATAAGCCCACTACATATGTGTACAGACCCATTCATGATGGCATTTTGGTGACAAACTGTTACTTTTATGCTATCATTTCCACTCATTAGCCATTAAGAGACATTGAAAAATATATGGCAATGTCGTAAGATGAAAATGACAACATAACTATTAATTTGAAACAATAGTTCCTTCAATTTTTTATGGAGCCTCCGACTCTGCTTTGCACCACCATCTTTAATTTATTTTGTATGGAAATTTAAATGTTTGGATTACAATGACATAGAGTAAGTGCATCTACACAACACTTCAAACTTTAAAGTAACTAGATTACGAATCTCTTTGACATGATTTTTGTTTTTAGTAGAATAGTTTCTTGAAGAAGTTATTTT